ACACTCCACGGGTCAAATTGACACAGGAACATTATTACCGTACCTCAGAAACAAACATAACAGGAGGGTTAATTTAATTTAATTTAATTTAATTTAATTTTAAAATATATTTTATTTATTAATAATTATTACTTTATTTTATTTTATTTTTTGCTAAAATGTTTATTTATACTTTCAAGTTATTTCTTTACTTATCTACTGTGTGTAGATTAAAAAACAACAAAAAACAAAACAAAACAAAAAATAAAATAAACAAACAAATGCTCCAAAAACATTTTAAGTGCACACAGTGCGCAGGCGCAGCTTGTGGGTGCCATAGCAACCACAGCCTACTGGCAGCTGTTAGCCCCAGAGCATACATCAGCGGTCAACATGGTAAGTCCGGGTAGTTTCAGCTTATTTTACTCGCTGTTTGGTTAGTTATTACTGTTAATAAGTGTTACCACAGAGACGATCATTCAACCTATCCCTGCTGAGACACGCCGGTTTGGCTATAAACTAAATTTAGGAATAGCTGATAGCTGGCTAACATCAGTTCAGTAAAGTCTGGTTTATTGTGTATGTTTAGTTTACTGAACGGCGTCAAATACAGTTTTCTGTTGTGTGTCGAGATGAATAACCAGCATTAATAATGGTTGTGATCCAGCATGTTTAAAATGTTGGGGTTTAGATGTAGTGTTTGTATTGTGACGTTGCTAGCTGGCCGTGGTTACCTTCTCCTATTCTGTTCTATCATCATTTAATAACAGCCTCGCCTACTGTATAATGTTTAATGTCATGTCTGCAGGCCAAGGCAACCACCATGAAAGAAGCTATAATCAAATGGGTAAGTGGGGGACAGAGCCTAGCAAAAGAAACAACAATTGTATGAAACAAGTGCTTGTTTTAGGTGGACATATGTTGATTGAATTACTGTTTTGTGTATATTTTGTGTATGCAGGAAGAGAAGAGCGGGGAGAAACCAAATGAGGCTAAAGAAGTTAAACTCTATGGTCTGATTCCCCCTATAGAGAAGATGGATAACTCTCTCAATGCATTAGCCTCCTGCGAGTAAGTCCTGCTTTTAGTGGTGTCTGGTAATCACAAGTAGGTATGAGAGAGAAAGAAGGCTCTTAAACTGATAGAAAGACTACAGCAGCCTGTTTAGAAATATTTTTAGCCATAAATACAATGACATCTTTTTGTTATCAATGCTTTAAATTTTTGTGGACATGCGTGATGCAGTCAAATTATATTGTTTTACTCAAGGTTATTGTAAAAGAGTGAAGCTCCCACCATGCTGCCTGTCCAGGACTGTATCGATCTGCTACATGTGCTCACTCACACTTCCAATAGAGTGATTTTTTCTTAGTTGATTACTATTCATTTATTTTTCATACAGCAGCTTGATTTGAGCAACTTATCAATCCCCAAAATGATAGCAAGTGCGTTTATTGACTTGAGTGCACTATGACATGTGAAACAAAATACTCTTTAACCGTGAATCAGATATTATTGAGTTCGTCCTTCACATACCTTAATATTTTTTTGTCCCATGCTCTGCTTAGGAAGCTGTCTCTGGCCACAAACGCTATTGAGAAAATAACCAATCTCAATGCCCTCAGTGAGTATTACCTGCTAGATTAATTTAACTCAGAGGCGCTGCTCTGTTCAACAAATGGAAACTTGAACTAATTTATTGTTTCTGTCATTTTAGAGAACTTGAAGATACTTTCATTAAGCAGGAATAATATAAAAAGTCTTGTAGGGTTGGTAAGTTACATACAATCCTGAGTTAATGGTAAACAAGTTAAATTTTCTGGTGTCATATAGTGTGTGTGTTTTATTTTACTCCCAGCAGAATATTTTTGGTTTCACCAGCAACTGAGCTTGTTTTGTTCATTTTCTTAACGTGTGTACTTGCAGGAGACAGTTGGAGACACTTTGGTGGAGTTATGGATTTCCTATAATTTAATAGACAAACTGAAAGGCGTCAGCTCCTTGCACAAACTGAAAGTCCTCTACATGTCCAACAACCTTGTTAAAGATTGGGGTATGCTGCACTCATCAAGACTGATTTTTTATTTTTTTTTACATTACCAAAACTTTCTGTGTTGGTCTCTTTAGGTAATTGGTCATAATTCATGTCAGTGAAATCATTATTTGAGGGATTTCCTTTTAAACTCACCTTATACATTCAGTGTTAACTGTGTTGCTGTCTCTTTGTTATGTAGCAGAGTTTGTGAGGCTTGCTGACCTGCCCTCCTTGGTGGACCTGGTATTTAATGGAAACCCGCTGCAGGAGAAGCATGCCATGGAGGGGAGCTGGATGGAAGAAGCCTCCAAAAGGCTTCCTAATTTAAAGAAACTAGACGGTGAGATTAACAAGCTTGTGTGTTTCGGAAACTCCCTAAAAATGACTCCTAGGGGTGCAATGTACTCGGCTTTAACCTAACCTAGTTGGTTGTGCAGCATATATGGTAATGTAGCGTCTGACTACGCACAAGAACTTTTCGGAAGACTTGGGAAAACAGTCAGGTCAAGGATCAAACGACATTAAGCTTGAAAAATAAGTGTAATAAGCAGACAATCCGGCACCAGGACCCGAAAGAAGACACGAATGTGAAATATGGATATGTGTGTTTACTTTGGGGAATATGTGTCGGACATTGTTCAGAAATCGGAGGATTTCAGTACAATTGGGCCAAGATTTCCTCCCAATTCAGCCATGCTGACTTAGGTTGCAGTATTGCAATAAAACTTTGCTGCTCAACTGTAGCATGAAGAGTCTTTTTAACGCAACATCACCACACCAGCATCAAGAGGAGACTGACGGAAGACCCCACACTAACAGAGTGTCTTAATACTGCTGAAGAACATTTTTATTTATTTCTATGTTCAGATGAAATTTAAAGGGTCTCCAGCCCATTGAAATTAATGACAGTGGAATGTTATTAGCAGTTTAAGGCCAGAAAGCATGGATTAAGTGGGATTATTACTGGAACTGCACGTTAAAAAAAAAGAAGCAAAGTTTGATTGTTTTTGTTGCCTGTCTTTGCTTCAGTCAGGGTTTTTTTTTTTTTTTTCAGCTTTATTGCTTCATCGTTGTGAACCATCACACACTTCACACCAAAGTGATTTCCCTTTTTTCAGTGTGCAGCTTTTGTACACAATCATTATTTCAATTGTTCAGTACTCATTATAGAAGTTATCATTAGCTTCATCGTCGACTTACAACATTGATTATATAATAAAGAATAATATTTGAAGTATCAACCAGGACACAACCTTATATACACGAGCACTTTCCCCTCATTGATTTATGTATTTTACTCAAGCGATTTTAACACTTGGGAAGACAGAGGCTACATTTAACCTTATATTGACAGTCTGTAGCGAAACACTCAGACGGCATGATGCTGCCACCGCTGTGGCTCACATTTGGGATTATATTTGCAAGCACCATGAATAATTGTCAGTCGTCTTCAAAGTGCTGGTGTGGGATTCCTTTGAGGTGAAAGGCTCTGCAGGCATGACTTCGGTTGAACAGCGGAAGATTTTATTTTAAACTTCAGCCCATATCACGACATCTGACTCAAGAGGAACCTCGGCTGAATCATAGAACAGTTTCTGTAGATCTCAGCCTTTTGTACAGATCATCAGAACATACCGACACATTACCTCATCTGGCGTTCCCCAACATCTCCGTCTTTTAGCATATTTTTCCCACATGCGTACTTTCCACCTTTAGACCTCGACCTCCTTATGATGCTAGAATCCGTACCTTCACGTATTTAGTCTGTCTGCATGTAAGAGATCTGCATCGGAAATCTATGCTGACAGAAACTGCTCATGCTTGCAAACTCTCCTCTTTTACTTCTGAATCTCACAATGGACATGATGACGCAACACTTTTGTTTTAATTTCATCAGGCCACGGTGAAACTAAGATGTTCCCAAAAATGTGTTGTTTTTTTTTACAGAGTGCATTTACTGCCTCCAATATGGTCTTTTATGCTGCTTTTGAATAAATGAATTCTTCTTAATTAAGTGGCATTTCGGTCTATGATGATACAAGCAAGGAGAACACTGAAAGCTCAACCAGCATCTTTACAATGTCTTTTTTTGTGTGTGTGGAGTAAATGTGCACATTACACACCAGAACACACAAAAAAAGTTATTTGTCTTTTTATAAACTGCATGTAAACACGTGGTTTCACCTGTATGTGATCAGCCACTTTCTCTTTTTATTCCAGGGATTCCCATCATCAAGGAGTTGGACGAATAAGATGAAACGAGCAAAAGGAAAAAAAAAAAAGACAGACAAAAACTATTGTCTTTCCCTTTTTTATGTTGTGCATATTTTATAATGGTGCTTTCAATTAAAAAAACATATTGAACAAAGTTGATGACTGCCGTTCAACAAGCACAAAATTCCAACCTTAAGACATTTCTCAAAACCTGCATGTGTATTTACATGGACAGCATTTCTTAATGTGCTTTAGAGCATTGATTTTATTTTATTTAATTTTTTTTTTATCAGACTGTTAAAAAAAAAGATGTTTTCTGACTAAAAATCAGCTTGGTGGACCAAAACTGTTTGTTTGGTTAAATACATTCTCTAAAGTGTCCTTAATTTTACGTAAGAACTTAGCACAGAGTAAAACACATGCTAAAGAGGAATTTCTAGATTCAGTTATGAAGCATTTAAAAAATGTTTTCTGTCATTATATCAAAAATGTAAAAATCTTACGTGTTCATTCTGATTAAGGAGGTGCGAGAAGTTTGATTTCTCTTCTGGACGTTTATTCGATGTGTGGTGAGAAGATTGCATGGTGGTCATTTAAGATTGGATAATCTGCTTGAGCGATGCAGGCAGGAGAGACTGCGGGTCTAACTGTGTGCTTCCCAGGAGTGTTGGTGCTCCTAACAGGTGTGACGTAACACCGGCATTGTCCATTAGCTGACCTTGACTCCCGGCTGCAGCTGCACAATGTGTCCACAATGACAAATCTCTGCAGCTCCCTGTTCACCTGTTGAGCAGTGCAGATAAGAAATGCATGTGGGTGCCGGTTTTGAGTGAAAAAGTGTTCTGCCTCAACAAGTAGCACAATTTATGCCGTTTTATGAAATAAGAAATTTGTAACAAAGATATAAAGCACATAGAAAATAGTTTGGCTTTTAAAAACAGTTAGCTTTTGTTATCAAAGGAAGAGATGGGAACCATGTTTGGGATTAAATTGGAGCCAAAAATAGCAGAGTCAATATTAACATGACCAAACTATACAGTTTGAATTGCTGTTTTAAAATATTTGTTCTGGTTGTTATTAGGATTTTTTATTTAATTTAATTTAATTTTTTTTACTGTGGTCCGCTTCATTGTTTCACTTACAAAAAATAAGTTTGGTGTATGTTGCATGTTTTTTTTTTACTTCCACTAACTGTATAATATGGTGTTGTATACTAAAATACTAATTTCTGGAATCGTTTCTTTCTTTTTTTTTTTCTTTTTCTTTTTTAGACATTAACGTTCAGAAATGAGGCACAATTATAGAATAATCAGTAATTTTCTGGTTGTGCCTCCCATTACTATGGAAGAGGATTAGGGTCACTGGAAAAAAGAAAAAAAAATCTGACTTTAATCTCAGAATTCTGACTTTTTTCTCAGAATTCTGACTTTAATCTCAGAATTCTGATTAAAGTCAGAACTCTTTTATTTTATTTTTCCAGTGACCCCAATCCTCTTCCGTACATTACTTTAACTAATAAGTGAATATTTTGAATAAAAGTGTGAAAGATCACAATGGGACCTGGAGGAAGATATATCAGATAAAACAGCATTAACGCCAACCCCCTAAGGGCTGTTAAAAAAAAAAAAAAAAAAAAGCCAGCAAACTAAATTATGGCTATTGAGAAAACTGGTAACCTGTTTGTTACTCATGCATGTTGTTGTTTCATGTCAGTTAAGAGTCAAGTGATCTGCAGTGTAGGAGCTCCTCAAATTTAACTGCTTTTAGCTGTCAGAGTAAATATTGTAAATGTGACGGTCATGTGCTTCACAGTCATGTTAGAGTTGTTTGTCAGTAAAAGACAAGGCTTTGTTCTCTCTCGGAGTGCAATGCCCGATTTTAAAGGATGCCCCACCCCACCAGTGGGTCCAGGATTTAAAGCGTTATCACAAAGAAATATGTTGTCTAGCCATAGTCAAAACTCTGCCTCTTCCTTGGATAAGCGTGACCTTGTAAAGTGCCTCACAATTTATTGTGTACTGATTTGATGCTAAAGCAAAAAGGGTACGTCTCCTAACAGTCTTTTTTTGTTTTTGTTTTGGCATAACGCTTCTTGTTTAGGCTAAACTCTATGAACGAGACAAGGGATGAAAACAAGTCAATCCATCATTTACAAGGTGTAGGCACAAAAAATAGTTTATTCAAGAAAACTGAAAGCTGTATATATTATAGCAGAATAAAGTCAGTAAAATGGTATGATTTCTTGTTGTCAGATGTCTGAGAACCCCCCCCCCCAGAATATATGCAGTAAAGAGTGCTATGCAAAACGTCTTAAAGGTTATTTAGAGATTAAGAATTGGTCATGTGGCTTTGACATGAAAATGTCTTATTATCACAAAGATTTGTGTCTCTTTGCAGTCTGACATTTGTTTTCCGTTCGCGGATACTTCCTGTTCGAGTTGAGGCTGAACTTATGAACACTACAGTGATTACAGTAAATCTCACATTGAAAGTAATCATATTTTTCTTATGAAACCGTTAAGAGTATAAAATGTAATTAGAAACAGTCTGTGTTCTCCGTATGAATGAGGTAACACAGTCTGTTGGGAATGTTGCCATGAATATCGCTTGTTTATACCATCTTGTTGTCAGTTTCCTTTGAATCTTCGTCAATCCGTGACCTTTGTCTTTTCTCCAAGTCTCCTGCAGTAGGGTAGAGATCGTTGAGTTGAGGCAGAGGTGTTGGCCGAA